TTTTTATCATTTTAATATGATAATCAATTCACATACCATCCTTAACAATCCAATAAATTTTCTAAACTAATTCCATTTGAGATTTGACCCTTAAGTCCGTAACCTAACATGTCGATCAAAGCTGAAATGTATCTGAAATTTTCACAGTATAATGTTAAATCAATGTGTTATTTTATATTCACCTTTGTTCTAAGTGCTTTGACACATTCGTATATTATTTTGAATAATAAATATAGGTGGTATAAAAGGAAAAGTTTTTTTTTCTCAGAATTAGCCTAATAATATATTGATTTAAAAGCTTAGAAATGTATACGAAATATAAGATCAGAATGTATTTCTTTTCGCAATAACAGGCCAATCGTTTATTCATGAAAGTGTCTAAACATTCGGATAAATATTTTTTAACAAGATAAAAGTGTCAAAATCTCGGATATTTTGAAGAAAGACACGAGTATCGGCTTTTTTATATGATTGCCATAAAAGTTGAATCCAATATGTGCTTTGAAGAAATTTTCAAAAGGAAATTGTAGAAATGAAACTCTAAATAAAAGAACTTCGATATCGGTTTCTATTTCCCAAGAAATATATTATGCCATGTTCTTACATATATATATATATATAAGCAAGTGTAAATGGATATAAATATCCATATATATATATATATATATATATATATATATATATATATATATATATATATATATATATATATATATATATATATATATATATATATATATAAGCAGAATATTTCCATTCAATCATGTTTGAAGAATTAATTTACACGTATTATGTATATTTATTCTAGTATTCTTTTTACATCATTTACCGTAAGTCCAATACGCTTCAACAGATATATGCCAGTAAAACATCTGTTTGGTAAACCTATTTGGCATATTAACACAGAAATTAATATAAAAAAATAATATTAACAGAAATTCTATATTCTATTAACGTTGCAGCAGATATCGTGCTCAAGTCCGCGAATTAATTAATTGTTCGCTGTAGGAAAATTCCAAAATTTTCTTTCAAATATATTTATTTTCTCAAGTATCTTAAATCTCACCTCTTCCCATCTCCATGTGTTTCATATATATTGATGTTTTATGCGTTAACTCTGTAAATTCAAAAATATTTTTGACCGATATGCAACTTACGTGAATTTTTGACCATATATATATATATATATATATATATATATATATATATATATATATATATAAATTACTTGATATATATATATATATATATATATATATATATATAATTAAATTAAATTTGATTTAAAATTTGTTTTTTCGCTACACAGTTCTAACCATGTTTCAAAAATGGAAGCTAAAATACCTGAATTTAATTTTTTAATTTTGTAATTTTTATTTATATATGCATATAAATATATATATATATATATATATATATATATATATATATATATATATATACTCGTTCTGAGTATGGCAATAAACTACACCCGCGTCCTTGGGTAAGACGACAAACTACGTCCAACAGCAACGCCTCTAATCAGAAGGTTTTCAGAAGCGTGGAACCACCTCTTATTTGATGATGTTCGGGGTGGTTGCACCTGTTACGTTCCTAGTCATGGGCAAATAGTAACACCCAAAGCTGTGTAAAAACAGTTTTAATACCAGAAATAATTATTACCAGCAATATTTTTTGAATGTAAAATTATTATCAGCAATTCTTTAAAAAATATTAGCAATACAAACGGTTCTACATCCTTTGAAAAAAATATTTCTTCATGGAGGAATATTCCCAGAAATAGATTTTAGAAGAAAAACATATTACCAGCTATAAAGATTTGGTCGGCATTAAATAACCCATTGAGATTGATATGCCGTAAAACAAATCAAACCAAACCAAACCAATATATATGTATACTATCAATTACGGCGTACAACTAGAATTGACAACAGTTCGACTTACATGTCGGGTATAAAATGCCAACCATTACAACTGTGTTTTAAACAAGATGGACAATAGTAACAAACAATTACTTTATATCATTTACCGTAACCCCAGCATGCTGTAACAAATATATGTCAGAAAAACACTGAATATTAATATAAAACAATAAAATATTAACAGACATTCTATATTCTATTAACGTTGCAGCAGATATCGATCGTGTTCAACAGCTGATCCAATAAAAGGTGATACACAGCTGATACAATGACAAAAGCTCCGTTTAACTCTCTGATAACTAGATATGGCAGCCATGTCGTTAACGAGTTGATGCTGACTTATATGTTGTTATCAATAGACCTGACCAATTTTAATTACACACAGTACAAAACTAGTGTGTGTCCTAGGTTGAAAGATATAGAAACATATTGCAGGTAATGTCTCACTATACAGGTAGAGGTGTGTCCTTACATAGACTTAGGTTATCGTATATTGTATCATAACTTTACCGGTAGGCCTACGTTATGGGCCACCAGTAGTCTACCTGTTATTTAGTAGTCGAATTATATGGAAGCTATAGGCCTAAATCAAATCTTGAGGTCATCTGTACGTTTCATCGCCTTATACACCGTGATTTACGATATATCTAAATATATTATCATTATTATTATAGAAACAGGAAATCGCTACAAAAGAGTCTTCATGTTTCAATACTTTGTACGTGTTTAGGTGAGTCAGTTACTTAACATCGTCTGAAGAAGTACAATCAAAATATTGAAGCATGAAAGCATTTGTGTATCGATTTCAACATGTTTGTATTATAATCCCTTATAATAAAAATATAATAATAATATATTGCTCTACTTTGTACTTTTTTTTTAAAAGTAAGTGCTCCGAACTCCATGATTTATTTCTCCCATTAGTATATACATATATATATATATATATATATATGTGTGTGTGTGTGTGTGTGTGTGTGTGTGTGTAATTTATTCGAAAATTATAATATAAACATGATATAAAATCACTACAAAAGTAGCCATTTTGTTTCAACACTTCTGCTGTCTTATCAAGTGATGTTGTTGAATGTCATTTGACCCCATCTCCTGATAAGACACCAGAAATGCTGAAACAAATTGGCTATTTTTGTAGTGACTTTATAAAATGTTTATGTTATAATTTTTCGAATAAATTATATTTCGTCTATTTGGTATTGAGCACTCTTTTAAGAATAGTATTTTTGGTCATTGGAATTTATACCGTGTTCACCAATCCTATAATTGGGTGTATATATATATATATATATATATATATATATATATATATATATATATATATATATATATATATAATATTAGTGGTAAATATACACATATATATGGAAAATATATAAATATATATATACATACATGCATACACATACATATATATTTGTATAAAAAAATCCCAAGAGGATAGAATCCAGGTAGATCTCAATGTCCAGGACAGAGTAAGGATATAATAAAAAGGCTTAAACACTAATATTCCATGGTCATAATTTATTCCATTGGAATCGTAAATACGATCCAATTCACGAGGACTACAAATTCAAAAAGAAAACAGAAAATCCATCTCCGGAAATATTGTGGTGACATACACACACAATAGGCGATCTAATCTTAAAGATCAGAAGAAGAGGGAGGGAGGGGAAAAGAAAAGAAAAGAAAAAGATGTGTGGGAAAGAGATGGGGCGGGGGGAACTAAAACTCTCTCTCTCTCTCTCTCTCTCTCTCTCTCTGTATATATATATATATATATATATATATATATATATATATATATATACACTTTATAGCTTCTAGCTAGTTTGATCCTCGTGACTAATTATGGTTATGTAATAGTATATTAAATAAGAGTACGCATTGCATTAGCATTATCTTCATTCATTTTGGACTGTTAACATCTCATAAAACAGAGTGTTTTGCTCGTAAATTCTCCCAGAATCTATGGTAACCTTAATAGAAACAACCCAAGATACGAACCACGTATTGGAGATTTAAAAATCTAAAGATATAAAAACATTTTTACATGTGACACCGAAATTCGAGGGTGTATATGAACAGTAAATCAAGTTGAACTGGTAGGCATTATAACTCCTCCAATATGGACAAGAAGGCATAGCAATTTCTTCACCGCTGAAGAAGAGATCTGATGCAACAGAGAGGTGTGTATACAGAAGGACGCAGACGTGGACATAGAAAAGTTTACTATCTCGCCTTTTTGGAGATAATTTACTTCATACAGTGACGAAAGTAGGAGTCAGTCAGTTAACTTGCGGGAAACAAGACACGAATTCTTCGTCCTTCCTACGGCGACCAGATCCCACGTGGTGCAGCTTACAAACCCATATCACCGTTTCCCTTTGGGAAAATAAGGCTTCTGTAAAAATACGGAACCACGGTATTATATGTAACTCATGTGTTTGATGTGTAGGTATAAGTTATAGTTTCTCTACGTGGGACACACGTACAGATATTTTTATACACTTTTAGGTATGACGTTGCGAAGTAAAATATCTCTGAGAACAAACCATTCTTCTCTTATTCTGCTCCATGTCTGTCATTCCATTCCGTCAATAAAATACCATGTTATTATATAATTGATATAATAATACCCATAGCAGGGAATAAGCAAATGGGAAATATTTTTTCTTCCATAGCTCAATCATTATCTGGGTCAGCCCGACATGGTCATATATTATTTACCTCCATTACTGAGGATGAAAAGGAAACAAAAACAACATATATACTTAGACTCAGAAAGAGTAAACTGGAATTTTTTGTCATTCCTAATGAGGAAATTGGACATGGATAATATGATAACCTAAGTGTATAATGATGGCAGATGGACAGAGAGAAACAGTTATACACCTATCTAATCAGCTTGTGCAAACAGACAGCAGGTCAGAACCAGCAGGGAAGAAAATGGACAAATATATTTTAGAGCTAAAATGGATATTTTGTTAAGAAGAGTCATGATCATTTGTATTCTGCTTTGCGTTCCATCAAGACATTCTCCAAGGATTTACGGCTACACAACGATCCCCGTACGATCACCGAAGTTAAGCAAAGTTGAGCCTGATCAGTACCAAGATGGGTGACTGCTTGAAAATACCAGATGCCGTAAGCTCAAGTGAGCGGGTGGTGTGATGGATAATGGCTCGGAATTTTTTAAGCGGGTGCTGAGTTTTCATTCCATGGGAATGGTATGAATCCCCCCTCTCCTACCTAGATATAGATTAATCAATATTACTTCTATCAATAAATCATTATTATCTATAAAGGAACATATATTCTGAATGTAAACAACCTACAAAGGGTTGATAACTGTAGAAAACAAAACTATTAAAAGATTCTCAAATATCTTCATTAATCTCATTTCTTGCACATATTAGATGCCGCCAAACGTCTTGGATTGTCTGATTGGCTGGTATATCTAAAAGAAATACTATATTATAATCCAATATATTATTACAATATAATACGACCTCCGTTTAAATATTTTCTTCTAATTTGAAATATATCTGATAGGTTCATTGGAGAATCATTCCTCTTTTCTAATGTAATTTCAACGGACGGATCTGTGGAATTGGTGTAGCATCTAACTCTATTTCGCAAACGGGTTTGGCAACAACTATGGCAACCGGTAAGCTTATTTGTTTTTATATCAGAATAACGTTCTATAACATATTTTTCAAGGACTAAAGTTGAAAATCTGTTGTGGCTTTGTTGGTGCCAGAAATAAAGACACAAAGAGTTAAATATATATATTAACAGAAACGGTAATGAAAAACATATACAAACGAGCAAGAATGTTCGGTCCGACTGTGAGAGCTGATTGCTGGAAACTACATGGTATCTACTCTGCCCCCCCCCACTAGGACGAGATGTGACACAAGGTCTATTTTTAAGTGGGGACCGAGCGTCCGGGACAGGAACAAAAATTCCCCTCTGCCCCCGAAACCGTCGCTAGCGTTGGCCTCAGTGCGAGCACCCCTTCATCTTTCTGGGAGGGCGCGACCTCGGACAGATGTTCCCCAGGGCTGGGCACCTCTTCAGTATTATTTTCATTGGTAAAGGTATGAATTTCTTTTTCTCCCCTCAGCTATGGGTATACAGCAGGACAGACCCGATTCTATAACCGTGGATGGCAACTGGTCTACCGCAAAAAATATACATGATCGCCTAAGCGTGCATCACGCATGGTACATAACTGACTTTTTAACATTCGCAGATTCTTAGTATAACATAAGACGTCTCTTGATCATTTCAAGGTATTTTTTTTGTATTTACTCACCGCCACCCACCAGGTCATGTTGTGACACAAGATCGGTTTAATGTGGGGAGCCCGAGCGCGTACACCCGGGCAAGGAACAATAATTCCCCGAGCCCCCGCAGCCGTCGGTTTCGCTGGCCTCGGGGCCTGCACCGATCCTTATCTCCAGTGCAATGAGAAGGCGCGGCCTCGGGCAGCTCTTTCCCAGGGCCGGTACCTCACAGTATAATTTTTCTCAGTTGCGACTGTGTCCTTTGATAGAGTCGCCTCTGAGTTCATTCTGCCCAAAGACAGAGACGCAACTAAGAGATGATAAGTAGACGGGAAATTACTCAAAGAGAGTAATTTGCACACTAAACACTGCTGGAAACTACACTCTCTATAAGGCAGTACCTGCTCGCATTTATAGCTGGGAGAGTCCATGCCTGCATGGGTAAATTACCATAACACAATCTAACCTTCTATTTAATTACTAGTAGGAAATGTCTACCCATGGCTTTCGTAAGGATATACTTGAGAAGTGAATGTTAGTAGCGTCGACTACAGTGTGACGTCGCCCCCCCTGGTCGCAGCGTCGACTTTGTCATTCGATCTCGTTCGCGGCTCCAAGTGTGACGTTCTAACCCTTTGGTTAGATGATTACCAGCCTCGCCGTTCCCAACTCGCTTCCAACACCTGGTTACTAGGGTAACTACACTGATCTCCGGTCTGCCTACCCACGTTGTGATTAGATCTTAGACAGACGGGATCAAACAGGGATTGGGGCCGTATGCAAGCTGAGTTCGACGGGGTGGTAACACACAAGTAAAAGAAAACTCACGAGGCCAAAAATTACTGATAAAAAGGGTAACAACCTTTTATATCTAAATGTTCGTTACATAAAATTATCCCTACTTCCCGACCCGTTTTGTGGACTGTGGCACCAAGCTTCTACCATACGACTTAAAGACTTCGAGTTGCCTACTCTCTAGAAATTTGCATGTCGGGGTGTGGTTTGGTTTCGACACTGGGCGCTGATCTCTACCAGTCGTTCACGGCTGATTCTTCTCGCCGTCAGTGCGCGAATTGACTTCTTCTCTTCGGCTTGAGTTGGACGAGCTTATTCTCTTCGGCTTGAGTTGGACGAGCTTATTCTCTTCGGCTTGAGTTGGACGAGCTTATTCACTTCGGCTTGAGTTTGATTTCAACTTCTTCTAAGCGCAACTGCAAGTAACTTCTTCTTCGTCCGCCCTGCAACTCTTCTCGTCAAGGTCCGAACTCTTCTCTCTGCCGTCCGGGGCTGAACTCTTCTCTTTGTCGTCCGGGGCTGAACTTTAACTTCTCATCGACTTTCGGGCTGCAGCTCCAACTCGTCAAGGTCCGAACTCTTCTCTCTGCCGTCCGGGGCTGAATTCTTCTCTTTGTCGTCCGGGGCTGAACTTTAACTTCTCATCGACTTTCGGGCTACAGCTCCAACTTTTCTTAGGCTTTCGGGCAATCTTCTTCACTTCGGCTTGGGCTGGACGAATTTCTTCACTCCGGATTCTCTTGCCCGCAAAGGGGCGAATGAACCGGGCCCGACGCCCGCGTTCAAGCTCCCTCGCTGTCCGCGGTCCAGCTGCAACTGATTTCTGTCGATTGGGGTCCTGCTTTTATTGACGCCGTAACAAACTGGGGTGGGTCTGTCGGCGCCAGGGTTTTCTTGATAATTCCAAAAGTCGCATTATTTCTGATTTCCCATTATCGCTCTTACTTTCACCCCTACTTCCTTACATTGCCTCTGGGGGGGGAGGCGCATACCCGTTTCCCCTGGTCTCTCGTATGTCGGGTGACCGCTTTCGACCAATGGGGTCCTGGTCGAGCGTCCTTCCTCTTCCCTCGCACATCACGTGACCGCTCTCGGCTAATGAGACTCTGGTCGGGCGTCTCTCCCTCCTTCGTGACGTCTCCAATCGGGCGTGGTCAATCCGGGGCTTTGTTCTGGGGAAGTAATACCTTGTTTAAAAAAACAAAATTTAAATTGTCCTTTTCGTATACGTGGTATTTGTCAAAATAGCCCGCCGCTAATTAGATGTGACTTCAGGAAGAATTTTGCCGCCTTGTCGGTCCCTTCTGCGAGCCAAAACAACTGCTTTCACCTCTTTTTTTCACTCGGGTCTGTTAATAAAATCTTAATTATCTGAATTGAAAATATCTTCCACTCATCATTTTTGAGTGGTCCTTATCTTCAACTCTAGAGCTGGTCAGGATTTGCATACTAATGTTTTTGTTTTCGTATACAATTCCAGCGATCACTTATCAACTCAATGACACCCTTTTCGTTTGTCACTTATTAATATTTTTTTTCCATTGTTCTTAAAATCCTATTGCTTCAGCCAACTTTAACAAACTTCCATCCTACGCGGACACGGAATTAGTTCAAGTGCTTGACCTGATAATTTTGACACTTGATATGTGCCGGTCGAACGTGTGTGTTTTCGCTTACGAACTTGTTTCGTATTATGTTTCTGTCTTTCCTCTTCTTTTCTTTTTTTTTTTTTTTTATTATCGCTAAACTCTATTTCTTCAAACAAATATAACAATTTCTATTTCCGTGGATTTCGGTCAGGTACATTGTCGGGTTTTGTATTATCTATTCCTCTTTCTCTTTCTTTTTATTATTTCTAAACTCTATTCTTTCAAATAACAATTTCTATTTTTCGTGAATTTCGGTCAGGTACTTTGGCCTAGATATCTTTTGACACCTGTGTTGTTTTAGTTTTCTTATGACCGGGTTTTGTACTATCTATTTCTCCTTCTCTTTTCTTTCTTTCTTTTTTTTCTTCCTTCTTCTTCCCTTCGGATCGCCTAAATACAGTTAGAGAATTATTCTCAAAACTCAATTATTCTTCATCTCTAAATAACTAACAACTGGTTAATAAACCGAATAAAAATAAATCATATTTTTATGAATATCTCTTTTTAGTTTTATAATAATGCAGGGTGCCACAACAGTTTTAACTTTGCCGATTTTGTATCCCTAGTTCATAACTTTTACGCTATTTCCATTTCCTCTTAGCTGTGTAGAATATTCTTTTTTGCATACACCAAACTTACCATTCCATTGCCGAGGATTTCTTATGTACAAGCTGCAATTTGACAATTGATTTCCAAGACACACATGCTCGCCGGCTCGCTTCGGTGGTCCCTTTCCTTGATTTCTTTCTTATGCTTTTCTTTATTTTTTATTCCACCATTATAATTACGTGCCTTCCGGATATAGACTGCTTTTATTCTCAAATATGTTACCGCTATTCGATGCCCTTTCCGGTCATGTAGGACTGTTCCCGCGAATGTTTCGATTCAGACGAAGGTTCTCAGCCTGACCTATCGTTTCCGCTATTTTCAATTTGTGCCCCGCTGATATATTGGGTTCCATGTTTGAATTACTGGGTCATTGGAGTCTTTTAGCATTGGACAGGGTCAGGCTTTTGCTTGCAAACTATTTTGCACACACAGACAGACACATCAGAAACAATACATACATACGCGCACACACACATACACACACGTGTACGCGTATATATATATATATATATATATATATATATATATATATATATATATATATATATATACGTGTATTTAACGGATATTTTAAGGTGATATTTTGCTGATAATCCGTTGCTGTGTAGATTCAGATGGAATAATGGTTAGCGCGAAGGAAAAGGAAATAGGAGATACGAGTTCAAATTACACTCGGGTTCATTGCATTCGCTTATGTGCAAATACCCTTGTAAAATTATCACTCTATGTATTCCCCCCTCAGCTATTGGTTAAATAGAAGAAATTGCACATAGAAATCATTATTATTCTGAACTGACAAAGTCTCTT